AACACACACACACACATTCAACTAAACACTTTTATACATAAGTAACACCTCCCAACATCCTAAAGGAGGCAGGTAAGCAATCTCATTGTCCATTTCCATTTCTCAGATAACATCAGTGTACGCCTTACAGAGTGCACCCCAGAGGTACACAGGGTAGATTATCATGCTGGCCATGTTGTGGTTCCTGCTCTGACTCATGCGCCTGTGCTATCTTCACCTTTGTTCAGATATCAGTTAATTATTGAGTACACCTATGCCCCAATCTTGGCTTTGTTTTGCTGTGTATTAGTGAGTCTTGCCCATTAATGAAATGTTGCTTGTTTCTCTGTTTTTGTAGTGTCTGTTGTTGTTTGCTGGCTGTTTGACCCTTCCACATGACTCATTTTCTGTATTTTGGCTTTTTACAATCTTACATTTCTAAAGAACAGAGAACCTCAATTTTTTTTCGTTTTAAATAACACACACACACACACACACACACACATTGATAGACTCATGAGTTAACATGTGAAACGTCTGATAGCCCTATATGTCTGAAGTATGTTAGCACTCAGGAATGGGCTCTCTCTCTCTCTCTCTCTCTCTCTCTCTCAGGGATCCTACAACAGCAGTACATACTCTCACAACCGCAAGATAATGCAGTGCCAACATTTTTGTCAGGGTTAAATTAAGCTTTTCTTTCATATGCTACATAAAATTATAGATACAATCATCATGCAAATTTGAGGTATAATTCTAGACCATATCACCCAGCTCTGATTTAGTATAAGTAGCTGGCATTTGCCAATATTACCTGGTATTTCAGGTATTTATTAAAATCCCTTACCGAAGACTCACACACCAACTCATAACCTTTAGACACTTTAGCTTTGTAAAATCCAGGCTCTGGCTTTAATGCTCTTTAAAATATTGAGTTCATTTTGTGCTGCTAATTAAACCAAAGTTCTACGGAATCTAAATATAGTTGTTTCAAATACAAAAAAAAAAAAAAAGGTTTTTATCATAGAAATAAATCACATTTTATTTAATGTTGCCTTGTTGTTAATTGATCTTGGATGTTAGAATGGTGCTAACAAACAAATAAACAGTACTCCATCAATAGTCGTTTTCATACTGCAAATTGGACTTTTACCAGATTATTTCTGCAGCTGTCTTCTGCATGTTTTCCATTCTATCTATCTATCTATCGATCTATCTATCTATCTATCTATCTATCGATCTATTTATCTATCTGTCTATCTGTCTATCTATCTATCTATCTATTGTCAGGCAGCAGATGCTGTACATAAACAGATGCAGGTAAACAAAAGCTTCATTAAGCAAGCTTGTAGATAGATCCAAAATGTGAGACAAAAACAAGGTCAATGAACAGGCAAAGGTCAAGCTTATTTTGTATGAACAAAATAAACTAGGCTAGGCAAAGAGCAAAGACAAAGAAACCAGAAACAAGATCAACACCATAAGAGACTATGAATAAATATAAGGCTTGGTAATGACTGGTACAAAAACAAAGTGAATATACTGTACTTCACAATGACTAGAATGACTGTGAGTCCTTATATACTGTGGCTGTGTGACTGAGTCAGTAACAGGTGCTTTTAATCAGTAACCAGGCGAGTTTGAACATATGTGTGATGGGAATAATAGTCCATTCAAGTCCTCCTGGGAAGTTTGTATTTATGAGTTCAGAAGTCATAATTATGACGTCAGGTGCATTCAAGTCACTTTGGTCAGAGCAAGATGGCGGTGTACCTTCTCCTAATTAACTACAAAAAAACACACCGAGTTTTTTAACTGCACTTCTAGAAAATGAAGAACAAATATTATGTCAATTTGCTTGTTTTACTGTAAATTTAAAAAAGCCTGACAATAACTTGCTGCATATACTGAACATGTAATAACTGAAATCAGCTTCTGAGTAAGCATTCAACTTCAACAAATTTAGCATCAACTACAGACGTTGCATCCATTGATTTCACCATGTTTTCTTACTGACACGCCCCCAACTCAGAAACCCGGAGCTGAAAGAATATCCAGAGTTTCCCACTCGTGATTACAACTTTATGAAGGTGTTCATGTGCGTTCAACTCGTAAATACGATCTTTCCAACATGTCTTGAACACACCATTAGAGTCCTTGTGACCCTGTATATGTGATCAATAAAGACTTATAAATTATAATGTATTATGGTCCATACCAATTCAGTGAGCTTTGGATATAATAGTGGCTGAAAAAAACCTGTGAAAAATCATTGCATACTTTATCATTAACAAAAGCTCACTGAATAACACACACTCGCGCACACACACACTTGTTTTTTATTTTATTTTTAAACACAGAATAACAAAAATATTCATTAATTCTATGATCCAATTCTTCTCAAAAAATGGTGTTGTATGTATGAGAATCAATATCCCTTGCATTGATTCACATGAACTACATGTCACTGGATCAATGTGCAAAGGTGCAGCTTTTGAAGATATGCAACATACAACATTTCCATTTCTATAGGAAAGTGTGTGCAGGGATTACTCACAATCAACAACATAAAGAGGAAAATTAACCTCTTCCATCAATCCTTAAAATGTGAGCATTCCATAAAGGCAGACCTACTCAGCATTCCTTTCTATGCCCAGTATGCACACTATGCTACAGGTACTATTTGGACAGAACAGTGGTCATCAGATCCTCAGACCAACTGTTCATTTTTCTCACAAAGGAAAGACACAAGAGACAAGAGACTCTCCTGGCTAAACAGAAACTGGTCCACTGGGTGATGGACGCATCACCGTGGCCTACAGGCAGGTCAGACACATGACCCCTACTGTAACATGCCATACTACAAGGAGTGTCTCTTCCTCATGGACATTGCTTAGATGTGCGGCACTCCAGTAAGTAATCTTGAAGTTCTCTAAGCGTGAGTATGCCATCTCGAAATACTTTTCCACGTAGTGTTCAATGTTCACATTGTGGCAAATATGGATTAACGACAGCTGTTTTTATTGCAAATACTTTCCCACTGTTCATTTTGTGACTTTGCTGAATGGTCTTGGCATGCGCCATTTAAAGAACTACAGATATATACGAGCTAGCACACACACAACGCACACACAACCATCTTTCCTCATGATAAGTGAAGAAGCGTGCAGCTGACCCATGTAAACAGTGTCTCTCCACTTTCATTCCTGCCACTGTGCTTTGTTCATTTTTATTCAAGCAGACATATACATGATGGAAGTTATTATTCAGACCAGTGATCCATACATATAGTAGATTACCACACACACACACACACACAATTTGTCTTACTATCCTTGTGAGGAACTCCCATCCTTGCTAAAAAAAAAAAAAATAATAATAATAATAATATATACCCTCACAGAATCTGTATTGTTTTAATGGTTATAATGGGAATTGGATTAGTTTTAATGGAAACTGTAATGGTACCTGTGGGTCACTACTCGTAATTTGTTGCATTCTATTGTTGGCATGTTATATCTAGTGGATAACATTAAAGACTAATAATGGTAATGGTTTTAACGATTAACTTATGTTTTATAATGGTATTTATAGTGGAAACCATTTCTGTGATGGTTTCTATTGTTGTTGTTTTTTTCAGTAGGGACTGACAGTTATTAATGCACCTAATTCATGCTATGACTGCACTTAAATCTAACCTTAATCACTAACATTAAGCAAAGATTTTGAGTCATTTTTTAAATACATGCTTTTTATTTAAATTTTTTATTTATTTATTCATTTATTTATTGTTGTTGTTTTGGGGGTTTTTTTTGGTAAAGTTTACTTTCACTCATGGGGAGCAACCAAATGTCCCCACAAGGTTAGACTGTCAGATATTCCTATCCTTATGTTGTCTCTCATCAAGATATAAAAACATTCCCCCATTCTCTCTCTCTCTCACACACACACACACACACACACACACACACACACACAACTGACAGTAGCACTGCCTTATCTCTTCCAGCTGCATTGTTTTCTACACTGTTCTTCTGTGACACTTTTCTTCCTCCGCATCACTGAATGCATACATAAACTTCTGTCTTAAATATGTAAATATTTGGTATCTTTTTTAAATAGTTTGCATAACTGTAGAAATATATCTCATAGCACATAAACTGGCAACTTCACACTGACTGAGACCCACAGCGTCTAAACAAATCTTCATAACTTTTTCCATTTGTTTCAGTTCTCCAGACTGTAGTGCAAAGGCAAGAACGTCGCTACAAAACCTGTCAACAACGTGAAAGTAATAAAACGTCGACAGCTGGAGAAATTTGAAGGCTTACCATAAGGCGCGTGAGCGGCGAGAGTAACGGTCAGCAGCGCGAGCGCGTGCAGGAGCGCCGCAGGGAGAGAGTAGTTGTCCGCGCGCCGGCAGTGCATCATGTTTACCGGAGAGATGGAGAGAGACCAGCTCTAATAAACCCACAGCTCTCAGATGCAGGATACAGGATGTGAAGGGACTTCCTGCAAAAGCCCACGATCAAATCCCAAAATGCAGAGGGGCGGGTTTAAGTTCAAAAAAGTTTCCTCCTTCTGCAGTATGGAAATCCACAGCGAAACACTGGCGCGTGCTGCACAGAGAAACAGTAGCGCTGAGAGACCGACCGCAGCTTCGATTAACGGACTGAATCCCCGCGCTGCTTAAACAGCTGGATCCCCACGTGCGCTCTTACTGAGATCCCAGCTATGTTGCCAGATTTGACAAATACCCTCCCAGTTCAACTACTGTTGTACCGGGACCTATGCATAAAATTTAGGCTGGTTTTAAAATCATCCATTTTCTGTTCCACTTATTCTACGCATGATTGTGGAGAGCCTGGGACCTATAACAGGAAACTCGGGGAACGAGATCTGGACACGAACATTCACACACTGCAGACAATTTGGAAATGCCTACAATCAGACTACAACACGTCTTTCGATTGGGGGAGGAGGTACCTAGAGGAATCCCCCCGAAGTACGGAGAGATCATTGTACACAGGGTGGAGGTGAGATTTGAACCCCCAATTCTGGAGGTGTAAGTCAAATGTGCTAACCACTAAGCCACTGTGTACCAATCCACTTTGTTTAATGTTTTTGGACAGTGGGAATAAATCGCAGAACCCAGAGGAAACCTAGAGGGAGAACATGCAAAACTCTATATAGAGAGTAACCTGAGGTCAGGATCGAACCAGGAACCCAGGAGAGGCAGTAATGCTACCCACTGTACCACCCTATTAAAAACAACAACTAATTAAAACAGGCCTTCCTACCAGGAGTAGTCTTGCAACTCCATGCCTTGTCCACAGTAAATTGGATACACTCTCAGAAAAAAAGGGTACTAAACAGTACTAAAAGGGGTACACCTTTTGTATCTTTAGTATGTACCTTTTACCTAGAAAGGTACATAAAGTTTCATTTTAAAGGCAATTACAGTCCAGTTACATACACGAGAACATTTTTTTTTTTTTACATTATAACGTTTGTGGACACCTGACCATCACACCCATATGTGGTTCTTCCGTAAAATGTTGCCACAAAGTTGGAACCACACAGTTGTCTAGAATGTCTTTCTAGTATGCTGGTGCATTACAATTTCTGCTTACTGGAATTAAGGGGTTGAAACCTGTTCCAGCATGGCAATGCCCCTGTGCACAAAGCAAGATCTACGAAGACATGGGTTGCCAAGGTTGGAGAGGAAGAAATTGAATGGCCTGCACATATAAACTGGAACGCCGACTGTGCCCCATGCCACCTCGCCAAACATCAGACCCTGACCTCAGCAATGCTCTTGTGGGTGAATGGGGAAATCTCCTTAGCCAGTTAAAAATTCCCAAATTCTAGTGGAAAACCTTCCAAGAAGAGTGGACGTTCTTATAACAGCAAATGTGGAATGGAATGTTCAAAAAGCACATATACAGTAGGTGTGATGCTCTGGTGTCCACAAACTTTTGGTTATAATCATTTTTGAGGATTTAACCAACTGTAAAAAAAAAAAAAAAAACACACACACACTTTTAAAACAAGGTTTTCAGGTTATATTATATATTGGGAAACCATTCATTAATTCTGTTCATTATTGGTTAATTAATTTATCTAATTAATTCATGTTGTTTTGTATTTTGTATCATTTCTGTTTGACATTATTCGATTCCAAGCAGCAGCTGTCAGTCACTTGTCTTTTAAACATGCCAAATGCATAATGGTGACTTGACCATTCAGTCAAAAATAGTTTCCTATCAGTTCTATATTCTATGGCCAAAAGTTTGTGTCCATCTCACCTACATGTGCTTTATGAACTGTCCATTCCAGATTTTTCCACCATTGCTGTTATAATAACCTCTAGTCTTCTGGGAAGGCTTTTCACTAGATTTTGGAGCATGGCTGTGGGGAATTGCTCATTCACCACAAGAGCATTAGTGAGGTCAGGGACTGATGTCGGGTGAGGAGGCCTGGCTTGCAGTCCATGTTTCAATTCATCCCAAAAGTGTTCAGTGGGGTTGAGCTCAGGGCTCTGTGCATAGTGCTTCCACTCAGACCTTAGGTTGGACCCCTTAGTTCCAGTGAAGGGAAAATGTAATGCTGCAGCATACAAAGACATCCTACAGATGTTCTGCTTCCACAGAATTTGGCAAACAGTTTGGGGAAGAACCACATAGGGGTGTGAAGGTCAGGTTTCCACCAACTTTAAGCCATATAGTGTATGGTTTTATTTGGTATGATAAAGCACTTTAAATGTATCCATATTAGTGTGGATAAGTCATCAGTGAGTAGTGCTACATGGCATCTAAAGGTACAAACTATAGACTAGATTCTACACAGTGTCATAATATTACTTCCTAATGTGAGTTTAGACATCAATTGTATGAATGGGATTTTTTTGCCTCAAGCATAATATAAACCCTTCCTAACCAGCGATCACCTGGAATTCAGTTCAAGCCATATCTTTAATTAAACAGAGTAATTAGCAGGAGTGTTTGTCTTGGAACTGAATTCTGTGGGAACATAGATTTCCAGGAATAGTCTTAGTTACAGCTGTTATAACTATTGTGCTGAAAACTGAAAAGTAATTTATAGTCATCTTCAAATCATATTGCTATTTTTTTCCCTCAGTGTGTAAGCTATTGAATATGTCACAGATACAGTATGTGAGAATTATTATAAAACCAGGCGGCATTGTGGTGCAGTGTGTAGCCTCACAACTCCAGGGTTCCTGGTCCAATCTTGAGATTTCTGTCTTTGCATGGTTCTCTGGTTTCATTCTACTATCCAAGAGATGTAGGTAGATGTATTTGTAGAATTTGTATATACCATACTCCAAAAATTATAATTAATTATTTTTGTCCTCCAGGCACATTTCTTTAAGTAACAACACAATGTTATTTTCTCGCCTCAGATCTTATCTGTTCTAAATAATGGTCATAAATCTTTCCCCTATCATGATGTTATCCTGTCATTCCCTGCTTAGTGACCAACTTGTGACTCTTTCAAAGTCTATCACACAAAACTCCATGTTCTGGACCAAAAAAAGGACACTTTCAGGGCAATGTGTAGTGTTGTAGAACAGAAGATATATAATTCCATGCTCTACCATGCATCAGAACACATTTTTACTTTGTTCTAGCAGCTCAATTTATTGGAAGAGGCCATGTTAGAAAGAGGGGAATAATATCTGAATTATACAAGAAGCCACAATATGATAAAGTAGCACTGAAAACAGACAGGCAAGTTGTATGCAGATATAAATGTAGGAAATTCTGAGGTAGGCATGCTGAAAGCAAACATTCCATTAGTTGTTAATGTGTGAGGTACATGAAAGAAAAGTAGAGAAGGAAGACTATCTGCTATACATAAACATGCACACATGTAATTTATATAATTGATCAAAGAAATACCTTTCCCATTAAAAATCAGTCTCAAAATATGACGTAACTGAATATGCTGTAGAACAATGACTAAAAACTCTAATATAACCCCAACACATTTGAGTGATGTATTTCATTTGGCTGAAATAATGGAGTGATTAATCACTAAATGAATAATGTATTAGACTACTGTACGTATGTGCATATGTCTCTTTTCAGACACTCTATTAATTAGACGTTTATCCCAAATTATACACTCATATAATTCTGAGCACATCAAATGCTAAAAAGGAATGTCATTTCTTTCATTTGGTTGGGCAGACTCTTCATTAGTGCTCTAGGAGAAGAGTATAATCAACTCTATAAATCTTTATCATGTCCATTCAAATGACAGCCAGTCGTGCTGTTTTCATAAGGTCTGCTTTGATGAAGCTATGTCTTCTTCTCTGAAAAAATTGCCTTATGATATATCACCATTTCATAATCATCAGTGTAGGAACATGTACATTCAACTCAAGTACCACAAGACGTGTTTTGTATTTTGAGTCATGTTTGTAAAACCCCTGTACTGATCTCAGTTGGGGGCTTCAGAGGTCTTCTGAGTTGCAAGTTCTTCGCCACAGGCAAGGAGAGCATGAAGGACATGAGTCTTGTGCACAGACGCTCCTCAGTCGCTGTTTCGTCGTAGGATCTGGTCTAGAACTTTCTGTGAAGGAAGCAAAAAAAAAAGTTTCTATTGATCTACAATAGCTAATCTCCTATTCACAGGTGATATCTATTTACTTTGGGAAAAAAAGGGAAAAAAAAAAATTTTTTGAGTTTTTTTTTTGGTTTTTTTTTTTTTTTTTATTAGGGAAAAAAGAGGTTTTGTTTTTTTACTAACCGCGCTGTTTTTTTTTTTTTTTTTTTTTTTTGTGGGGGGGGTTTTTTTTTTTGCGGGGCTTTTTTTTTTTTTTTTTGCCGCCCCCCCCCCGTGTTTTTAAAAAAAAAAAAAAACAACCCCCCCCCCCCGAAAGAGGAGGGAGGGAAAAAACTTTTAATATAACCCAAAAAAAAAAAAAAAGAATTTTTTTCTATTCTGAGTTGCTCAAGAACACTAAAATATTGTTTTTTTTTCCCCCAGTTAAACTTTATTGTAGCCTTCGGGAAATGTTCAGGGATGTACTCGTGATTCGGTTTTAGATGTACTGCAGCACAAAACATTTGTTTCATTTACTGTTGCACTGTTGATTACAGCTATCTGCCTGCAGTACAATGTCACTTCACCTTTAAAATCACCCTACAGTCCATACAGGATTTTGCTGAGTTTTTTTTTTTTTGTCATTGTTGTGGCCAAAATTGTTTGATTTTGGTTCAGCTTTTTTAAAAATTTGCGAGACCTTTTTGCTGTACTCATATTCAACACACATGAATCAAAAGGGGATTTGGCTGAATGTGCATTTTGATGGCATCACATGATAATGAGTCTTTATTGATCACATATACACTACATTCTTTTCTTCACATACCCCAGCATGCGAGCAACGAGGGTAAAGGGCCTTGCTCAAGGGCCCAACAGTGGCAGCTTCGCAGTGCTGGGGCTTGAACTCTCGACCTTCCGATCAGTAACCCAGAGCCTTAACTGACAAGCCACCACTGCCCTTCACATGTCACATGATGCATCTTGGCACAAATCTGTGGAAAATCTGCTATAAATTTGAACAATTGTAAGCTTCTCCAAGTACTGCGGAGTGTCCTTGATTTTGCGTTAATTCTGTGACCGCAAAATCCTGGATGGATTGCCTATAAATCATGTTTATTTCTTGTCATTTCATGCATCTTGTATCTGAACTGCATCAATACCTGACACAATTTTAATCACTTGCTGTATTGCATTTTAATTAGCAAATCACACAATTAGACTTCCACTAACTTCCAATGGCTCCTTCATGTATGTCTTCGTTAACCATTTTATCCTGAGTGTTTTATGCAAAAGATATTATCCACATATTGTCTTTTTATTGACCTAAAAAATTCACATGCATTCAGTTCTCCAATGAAATTAATTACATTGTTCAAACCCTAATTCCCCCATTACATTATGCAAGAGAAGGTGTACTACCAGCTGAAAATCAAGATGTATCATATATCAGTCATACAAATTGGGCTCTATTGTCCGTCATGTCTTAGCATTAGTGCTCCTGCAAGTTGGGCCGCCATGTTGTATATG